ATAAGAAGTGTTCTAAAAACTTTTTAGTGCGAGTATATAGATATCTTATGTTGTATTTTCAACTTTTTCTTCACATCGTTCAGATTCGCGATGGCGCTGGACCTCTCAGTGAGCTTCTCGGAAGATACTGTGGCAACCAACCCCCGCCCCCTATATTATCCAGCAGCAACGCTCTTTGGATACGATTTGTCAGCGATGGGACATTGGAGGGAGCTGGAATCGTTGGAACGTTGGAGACAATAAATTGTAAAATCAATTGAACATCTAGTAATTAACTCCTTGAGTGCTTATAAAAAATTAACACTCACTTTAAAATTGGAAATTTAGAAGTTCAATACTGAATGAGGAGCATACAAGAAATTACGAATGCATTCATCATTCAAATAAATACTATTTGATACATGTTTGTCGTGCATGTATTTTATAACATGCTAATACGTTGTGTTCTTTGAACTTCTAAAAACTACATAATTATTAGACTGTGGATTTTATGCATCTTTATAGCTAAAGAAATAAATTACATCTGTGTATTATGATAAACATTCTACTTTACGCATTTTATATATTTTTCACATATTACATATATTTCTTGTACTTTTCAATTATGCATAGAGAGAAAATATTTGTAATTTAGCGATCGTTTGATTTTATTTATTTATTTCAGCGCTATGTGGCCCCTCTCTTCTCGAAGCGAACGACTCAAGACTTGTACTGACCTCGCCGAATTATCCGAACAATTACGAACCTGGTACAAGATGTCGTTGGACGATACGCTCCGACGATACGTACACTGAGAGACTAAAGATACGATTCTTAGATTTCGACGTGGCTGGCTCTCGCCTGTGCGAAGATGATTATCTTCAAATCACGGACAAAAGGGTAATTTATTTAGGATCTGATTTATTCAGTAGAGAAATGTCGTTATCGTACGTCGTCATGAAAGGATGTTTATACAGAATCGGAAGTATATCGAGCAAGGCTATGGCGAGGAATTCGTTTGGGCTGGAAAATGGGACGACACATATTATGGCCTGGTAATGAAGCTCTTTGATACCTATCTTTCATATGGAAATTATAAATAAATTCTTGCATTGTTTGTTGAAAACATAAATAAGCATGGAATAAAAGAATACGAAACTAAAATTCAAAATATAGAAGAATACAAAATTCTTAATTGCAAATTAAATTATACTGAGCTTTCTCTGTGTGTCC